AGTAAGATCTAAGAGTTTTCCAACTACAATAACAAGCCAGATCATTTCTAAGGCCTTCATATGACATTTTAAAGATAGTAAAAGACAACAATTGATTTGAAAAAAAAAAAAAAAAAAAGAAAATGTATTACTTTGACCAGTTGGCAGACAAGGACAAGTGACTTGCTGAAAGTCACAGGCCCAATGAGGGCATCGAGTCTGTGTGACTGTTGAGGCCGGGCTGCATCTGGCAGCACACCAGCCGCCCATCACCACTGTCAAGTCATCAGAAATGCTCACATTTACTACCTAGGAAATGATCCAAGCATATAGGAATAAAATCTTTAATGTAATGCCCACTTGAACTGGAATACGAAAATAAGATATTACAGAGCTGATTAGAAGTCTAAATCTTTGTAGATACTTTAAAATGAAGAGGAAGAAACTTTTATAGGACCAAAATACAATTTTTTTGTATGAGTAATAGAGTTATTGTAATCACATATCATTTTATTATAAATGTGTGTACATATAACATATATAATATATATGTAATACACATACATGCATATACAACATATGTGTGTATATATGGTGTGTATGTGTGTATACATGTGCATGTGGTATACATATATATGTAAACAGAAATAAAATTTATTTCTGAAAATCTTACACCTTATTTCAATTTCAAGGTAAAATTCTTGTTTGCATTATGGTTGAGGAAAAGTGCCTATGTATATACTATTGACTAATGTGATAATACGACAAAAAGAACCTTAGACTGTAAAGACCTTACTTTTCAAACATTACCTAAGCTACTGTATTTCTGAATGATAGCGATTTTATGACAGTCTCTTAACCTCTAGCAGTCTCTCTTTCCATTTCCATAGCACTAAGTTAATTCCTCTCCCGAGAAGTAAGTGCCAAGATTGTGCATAGCCCATAGCAGGTGCCACAGCTTTCCTTGCCTTGACTTATTTCACTAGTGACTACATTGATATGCAGGGATTATTTCCTCTGCATGTTTAACGCGGGTCAGCAGAAATGTTTTTCAAATGCCAATTTAAGTACTCTTCCGTTGTTTTATTGACTAAATTGACAAATAAAAAAATTACTTTCTGGACATTTGGAACACACCTGCCATCTTCTCTACTCATCAGGGATGTTCCAGCCATCAGAGTCAGCGAACCTCTATTCTCTGACCTCTATCCTCTTAACTTCACTGAGACGCAGGCATTTCTGTGAGTAATGCAGTAATGTGCTAAGAGAATGCTGTTAATCCATGGTGTGTTTTGCTTACTGCCATTACCTCCTGAGGCCTAACAATCAGCAGCTACAAGTATAGCTATATCTCTTATTAATATTAATTTTATAGGAACCAGCAGTTAGCATAATGGCTATGTCGCTGGGCTCCCATGTAGTCGACCACTGTTCGAGTCCCGGACCCGGTGGGTTAAACTCAAGCCCGGTGTGTGTGCGTGCGTGCCCAAGATCCCGAGAGGACAATGGAGGAGAAGGGATTGTGGCATGGCCATCCCTCCTGGGAGGTGATTTCTCGCTTTCTGTCTCTCTGTCTCTCCCTGTCTTTCTGACGAGCACACGTGCCCTATAGCAAAAACCTCTCAAAAAATTATATTAATTTTATAATAGCAATGATAACGGCAACAATAAAGATGTTTTGTATTTGTACATTACACTATCTACAAAGCATTTTATTTTACTCACAGCTTTTCATTCAGTCCCTTCTAGAAGAACTCATGTCTTGCATATAACTGGAGGAAAGTGATATTCTTTCGCACTCTGATACAAAAAATAATGTCTAGAATTAAACAATAGGAGTCCACATTTTCATATTCAGCTCCAACCTCCCTGCCATATCCAAGCTCCTGTTTGTTCTTATGACTCCTACTACTCCTACTTAAGCAACCCTAAAACATTATTATAAATGCTTAGTTAGGAATCTGTCTTCTCAATGACACTGTACATTTTTGTTTGTGTTTGTATTTTTGTTTTTTGAAAGATTTTTGCTACAGGGCGCATGCGCTCACCAGAGAGACAGAGAGAGACAGAAAGCGAGAAATCACTCCCCAGGGAGAATGGCCATGCAACAGTCCCTTCTCCTCCATTTTCCTCTCAGGATCTTGGGCATGCATGCACACGTATCTGGCGTGAGTTTAAGCCACCAGGTCCGGAACTCAAACCACAGTTGACTACATGGGTGTTCAGAGACATAGCCATTACGCTAACTGCTGGGCCCTGTGTTTTTGTTTTTATTTTTTGCTATGGGTGCCTCTACTGACCAGAGAGCTATAGAAAGAGGGAGAAAGTGTGAAATTATTCCCTCCCAGGGGTAAGGCCATGTTAGCATGTTGCAATTCTTTCTCCTTTAATCTCTTCTCAGGATTTTGGACATTCATGCACAAGCACTTGACATGTTTTTCAAGCTGCCCCAGTTGGCTATGTGGGATCTGACTGCTATAACCAGCACACCATTGGCTGACCCCACCTCATACATTTCTTAAGGCAGGATCCCATATTTCTATCCTAATTTTCTGATCTATTTTAAATACATAGTACATATGAAACTTATAGTAGGATGAATTAATTCCTTAATTTTTAGGTGTAGAAATGAAAACTAAAGGAGAAAAGAAACACTCATTTCTGACACCCATTGTTAATCCTTTTGCTCTTTGAGATGGAATTGTCCTTAGCTCTTCAATATAGAATCAATTTCATGTGGTATCCGGATTATTAAGATTCTAATGAACTCATGTAATATGATATTAGCAAACATATATGAATGTACAATTCTCCCAAAAATGTAGGCTATTTGCTCATATCCAACAATTCTGCAATTATACTTACCTTAAATCATCAATTTTCATATGGTGGTAGATAGTGATTAAAATAGTAAATTCTCTGGGTTAAGGTGCTGGACTCTCACAGTCAACCATGGTTAGAGTCCTGGACCCAGTGGCTTGAAAAATTACACTGGCCCAAAATCCCAAGAGGAAAATGGAAGAAAAGGGATCATGGCGTGGCTATATCCTTGAGGGGAGGGAGGGCTATTTCTCACTTTCCTTTTCTCTGTCTCTCTTAGATGAATACACAACCCTATGACAAAAAATTAAAAATAGAAAAAAATAAAAGTAAGTTCTATGATCAAAATGTTTATAGCAAAAATC